TTTAAGCACCTTTGTAATGGTCCTAGGTGTTATTGAATAGCAACAACTGAGGTCATGACATTGCTACATAGATCAAACTGAACTTAAATTAACCTTGAATAAAGGGTGAATCAGCATATTTCTCTTGTGAACAGCACCAGCATTCATGTAATGTTGCCACACTCTCCATTTAATTGCTACAGTCAACTTTTTGCGCAGCACCCACAGCTTTTCAAAGTGGAGGCCAAAAGATTGACAATGACATTGCTGGGCTGTGCTGCAGAAGGCACCCTTGCAGAGACATGGTCTTTAGTACCTTGCAATAGAAAGAAATAACTCATTTCCCTCTGGAAAAGTAAACCCTTTGATAAGCTTTGCTCCCAACTTCGGTCTCTGTGGGAACATAGTAAAGTCAGAAGGAAACCCATCACAGCAACAACACAAATTGCTTCACTGCAGCACTAAAACAGGGACATGAGGCACTACACCCAAGATCAAGAGCTGACAAGATTCAAGTGGCCCAAAGCCTCACTTCTCAAGAAGGCAGAGAGGAGGTGATGTGGTCTTGGCTATGGCTGGGACTGAGGCACTACCAAAATCTTTCAAGTGTCATCTCCAGGGTTTGGCTGGCTACATCTTGGCATGGAACTTTGCAGGGATCCGCCTTGCTGTTCTCATGTTGGAAGGTCTACAAGACTACGAAGTCTTCAGCCATCAACACTGTGGTTGTTCATGATGACACGGTGCTCCCTCCTGAACACAGAGCAGGTTGTAGCCATATGGCTGCCAGCATAGGAAGCGTTTCCTAAGGCCAGCACATGAGGTTTGCCAGTCAGGAGACAAAAGCCAGTTGCTGCACAAAAAGTGTCCTAGGTTAGAGCAGGAGACAACCAGCTCCTCACTTCATTAGAGCTCCCATGCAGAAGGCAAGCAGGCAGCACTTCCCAGTGGGAACGCTACTGAATTTAAACCAGTTTCATATCTGTAAGCCAAACCCACTGACCTGGGTGCAGTTTCACTCTCAGGCTAAGACTTCTCAAGAGGATTCGGGTAGGCAGGACCTCCTTCCCCCTCCATGAAAGTCCTGCCAGGGCCCTGGCTGAGCTTGCTGTTAGCCTCTTGTGCTTTGCTACCCGACACAAGTGCTGAGCAGCACAAGCTAGCAGAGCTCGGGTGCTCTGATGTCCAGACAGTCTTTGGTTATCGTTTTCCAGTGAGCCAAATACAGAAAGCCCTGGAAAGCAAAGGAAGGTACAGCTGGCTACAGGCTGAGCATGGGAGGGCTGATTTACGTCTCTCTGAGGCTGGTCCCATGTCTTACTTGGATTCGGGACTGCACACGTAGAGGTCAGTCACCAGCCCCTCTCTCCTCTCCAAACGCCTCCAGCTCCTGACTGCCAAAGAACACCCACCTGCCAGGTCCCGCTGCTCGGACAAATGGTCCAGCTCGTCTTTGTCCTTTACACTACAACAGTTGTTTTCACTCGAACAATTCTGCTCCCCAGAATTTCATTGCCCCCACCCCTTCATTTTCCTGTAGTGAAATACAACTGCAAAGGCTTTGAGGAAGTTCCAGACAATATTGCTCACTCCATTTCAGCACAGACAATTCCCAAAATACCATAATATCATGCACTGACCTCAAAAACACCACACATCCACCCCCCTCCCCCAAAGGTTTCTCCCAAAATCCTTTTATGTCATTGATAACCATCAGTTAATGAATAAAGACAGCAGCACAGTGCTTTAAAGAGACCAAAGCACTGTATCCAACAGCCAGAACCGGGCCGCCACAGGAGGGACCACAGCTCAAAGGGGACTGACTGATTCAGCTGCTTTGCTGCTGGACTGGAACAATTTATCTAAATCCCAGTAGGCAGAAATTTAAAAAATTTGCAGAAAAAAAGAAAAAAGAGGACACAATGTGAAGGTCTCCCCTTAACATTCGTCTCCACTAAACCCCACATGAAAGCCTCCCATCTTTCAGAAAAGGGATAAAATAAAGCAGGACTGGACAGCAGTTGAAGAGCAGGCTAATGAACAACTGTTCTTAGGAAAATCTACATCCCGTTACTCCTCTGTTTTGCGCTCTACATTGGTAAGGTTTCTACAAGGTATTTTTAGTGAGAGAGACCAGAATCAGTCTTCTTATTTCCTGAGCCAAGGGAATCACTACTTTACATCCCCACATTATCAACCAGCCGAAGGCAAGAGATTTTTCATACAGCTCTATCTGCCCTCTGTTTCTGGAGCAAAACCTGAGCCAATGGGTTCCAGTCGAGAGCAATGAGCTATTTATTATTTATTAGCAGCTGCACATTTGTGACTGCAGGGAAGAAGGGAGATAGAGATGCAGCTGCGTGGCAGAGTGAAGCTGAGGAGGATGCGCAGGTAGCAGGAAGGAGCCAGGCCAGAGGCGAGCGATGCCCATGCGCCCAGCAGTGCTGCTCTTGTTCCCTGGGCCAGGACCACCACAGCATGTTTCTCGCTGTGGACATCCTGATCTCTCCAGGGCTGCCAACTCAACATCTTTTTCAGCAGCAACTCTTGGGAATTTTTGCCAAGAAGAAGAAGAAAGGCAGGTCCTTACCTTGGCCTCAAGTGTGTTTAGCCTCTCGGTCATATCCGCTAGTCTCGTGCAGTTCATGCATTCTAGAAAGAACAAAAGAAAATGATGTAAAATTTCTACATACTTTGCATGTTAATCTATGGCTTTCAGTCTGCAGACCCTGATCCTTTTTTGATCCAAGGCACACAGAAAAGTGATTCAAGATCAGTAATGGAGGGAAAATAAGTATCCAAACCCATTGCACAGGTAAACAGCCACATTACATCAACCTTGTTCAGGGATGTTCAGCGGGGCAGAAAGTGAAACCAACTTCCCATTAGGTAGAAGGTAGGTGAAGAAAAAATTAGTGGTAAGGCTTTTCATCGTGCCAACCTACATGACCTGTTGTCACCAGCAGAGACACTTGTTCTGCCACTGGTGCAAGCTGGTGCTGCCAGGCTCCACAACTACTGCTTCCATTTAGCTCTGTACTGTACCCTCTCCTATACTAGGTCCTGGTCATAGACCGGAAAAATCAATGAATATACAAAATGCCCACCTCTGTGGAGCCCTGCTCCACCCCTGGACTCCCAGACCCCGTTACCACTCCCACAACAAATCATCTCATTGACAGCAAGAAAATCCAAGACAGACCCCAGGGCTGACGCAGACCAGAGCTGCAGCACGAGGTGGTTTCCATCTCACTTTGCTGCATAGAAGCCACAGCTAGGTGGCAACCACCAAAGGGGTCTCAACAGGATGCCTTAGCAAGAACAAACAGTAACATAATGGGCTCTGAGTGCAGTTTAAAATGATTGCTTGATACAAAGGGCATCGCTTATCTAAACAGGAGGCCTGTTGCTTTGCCTCTGTTTTCATTTCAGCAATTCTAAAGTGAGTGAAGGAGGATAAAGCCCTGAACAGAGATTTAATCAACAAGGGACTTTCCCAGCGCTTTGCAGCAGTGTTGAACTGCCCGTTCCCAGCTCTCAGAGAAGCCTTCCAGACTGGACCACTCACCTATCATGACTTCTGAAGTACAGCAGTTTTTAAAGAGGGGCAATGACTTGCAGCATGAAGTATTTCAGAGAATAAACCATCCATATTCAGGTGATGAATCACTGTCATCTCATGTCCCACATAGGAGAAATACATCTCTGTGTGTGTATCTGAGCTCCTTAAGGGCCAGAGCCAGTTTTCATTGTCTGGCCACGGAAGTAGTATTTAATCCTGGTACTTCCAGGGCTGGGGATGTTGACCTGTAATTCTTGAGCCCCTTAACAGACCATGCAGGCACAGCTCAGGCTGAGGTTGTACTGACGCAGGAGATGTTGAGTAAACCCAGTGCCTACTTATGGGGACAAATGGGTGAACGTGGGTTTTGGCCTGACTAAACATCACCCCAACACCTGGGACTCAGTTGTCCCCCTTACAAGCCTTGTCCCCTGTTGCACAAGGAGCCCCAAGGAATCTCTCCAATCTTCATCCACAAACACTTTCCAGTTTTATGAAGCACATGGTATGTACTGATGGCTCTCAGCCATGCAAAGATTTTAGCGCATGGCTTGAAGGGCCAGGAAGCTTGACTGTTCCACGTTAGTGATTTACAGTCTAAGAAGATTGCTTGAGTGTTAACAGCAAGCAATCACCCATTGCATAAACCTTGCAAAGAAATTCTCTCATTGACCCTCCATGAAGACCTGCATAGCTTCCCAAAGGAGCTAGACATAGAGCTTCCACCTCACGATACCCAACATCTTGCAGACAAAGCATCCGATGGTTCAGGAATACTTAGATTCAGGGATTTCCTTACAGGTCAATACTGACATGGACTTTCTTTTACCCAACAGGAAATAACATTCATTTATTTTTATTCTCTGCAACAGATCTTGGGCAATATTTTTTTGGCTTGAATTGGCCCACGAATACACAAGTGCCATAAGTGCATTGTCCCACAGGGAAGGAAATGGGTGAGTCTTGTTTGATCTGGATCTGCCTGTGGTGTGTAAAACAGGGAATTACGTTTTGTATGTAACTGGCTTCATGCTTTTGATCTTGCTCATCCCCATAGAAAGATAAGACTGAATAAATCCAATGTTCCCAAGAGCCAAAAGGCGTACCAGATGTGTTACAGAGCAAATAAAATATGGAGTCCTATTCTTCCTTCTGCTGGCTTGCACATATTAGTAACTCCCATAGGGTTAGAGAGACTGACTTGAACTATCTGAAAACCATCTCTGTGCATAATTTGTAGATGGATTGATCATTTAAGCTCTCTTTGGAGAGCTCAGCTCATAAAAAAAGGGCTTGCACTACCCCTCTGCACCAAAGTGAATCAACCAGCTCCCAGGGGGAAGGATACTTTGATCTTCTCTGCTGGCCAGAGTGCGCAAACAGCACCAGTCCAGCAGCCCTCTCTGCTCTTAAGAGTGTCTCAAAGAGCTCTCTCAGGTGCGTTTGCAGCATGCAAGGTCAGATTTAAATGAAAAAAATTACAGAAGGGTGGAGGAAGCAGCAGCGCCACTGCATGGTGAGGTTTGTACTAATACCATCTTCATGTCAGTGATGTCTGCTGAAACGTATGGAAAACACAGTCCAGGTCAGAAAGAGATCTACTTAAACTCAAGTTGGATTTGAACTCTGATCCTTTCTTTTGTGAAACGCCTGGAATCCCAGATCCACACCCAAGGTACTTAGCCTGGACCCAAAAGACATTTAACTAATCCAGAAAGTGGATGTCCTAATGCAAAAGATCTTCTTACTAAGGCAAGCCATCCTGCCAACAAATCCTTGTGACATTTATTTAGCTAACCAACAGACAGATGATGCTTTCAAACACCGAGATGAATGCTCAGTACTGCAGCTACAGAAACTACGTTCAGAGCTCACTCACAACACACTGGAGACCAGGCTGCTTCTGTCCTTGCAGAAAGCCTGAGAATGGTGGTGACAAATCAAGCTAATAAATATCTTCCCTGACTACTATGCACTGAAGTATTTAGTGTCTAATCCTGAAGGCTGGTGGTTCCAAGGCCTGGGACTGTGAAGTTGAATTTTCTGATCAGGGTGAAAGCAGTCTGCTTTATTAAAACAAGCTTGAGAATCTCACATCATTATTTCACATGCAACGAATATAATGCTGGGGCAAATACACATACTCTCTGACCTGGAACTCCAGAGCAGACGCTTTCCATATCTGCAGAAATCCATCACCTGTTGCTACACAGAACCACAGTTTATTTCCCTCATATTCCTAGTCGGCAGATTTGTATTTTTCCAGCTAAGCTCCAAGAAAGGAGTTGTGATTTTACTCTATGAAGCCCAGCCTCAAAACACATGGTAGGATTTGTTTTAGAAGTGTTCCAGCAGGGAGAATAAATAATTGAGATAATGAACATGAGACTGTACCAGCATATCGCGTGACACCCAGTCTGTCTCCATAATGTCTCGCTGTTACTGTCCTAGCACACCTCTCCCTTCCTGCCCCCCCATTCCCCCTCTCCGGCTGTGTGGGTAAAGCAATGCAACTGGAGGGAAAGAAAAGCCCAACATATCAGAGATGCGGTAGACTCAGCACATTGGAAAATAACAAGTCAGGTACCCTATGCCAGCAGTGACCCACTTAACCCTGATCCAATGCTTGCTTCATTTGACCAATCTTTGATTTAAGGCTGAGCCAGTGCCTCCAGCACTGCAGGTTTGCAACCGGGCACTGGGCTATAAGCCTGTGGCTTCCACTCCGGATACGCTCCCACAAGTGACTTATAGCGGTGAATGACTGACTTTGGGTGCCTTGCTAACTTGGCATTCCCACTTTGCTCGAGCAGCGTTTGCATAATTCCATGATTAAATAGTTGTACAATTCAGCTGCTCAAGGCTGAAAGCCCCACAAGTCTTCAAACTCCTCACTCAAAACAGAAAGGTGTGATAGTAGCTTTATACCAGTGGGGCCTTAATGATTTCAGCACAATCATCACAGTGGCATTGAGGGGAGTAAAAAAAAAACCACGCCAACATTCACCACTGGGCCGCAGGTCAGAGTTTTGTGCAAAACGGCAAAGAAACCTCTTGGCATCTCTGCCCCATTTCTCAGCTCTGACAGCCCACGCTCATTTGTATACCCAGAGTCTCTGCAGAATATTAAAAGGGGTTTTGGTTTCCCT